ACATAAAATAATTTTTATAAATTTTTAGAGCTTTATTTTTTATTGTTAAATTAATTTTAATCCTTTAGAGTTCTAAGACATAAAATATTCCATATGAAATTATGCATCTCATTAATGAAAAATGCTATTCTCCTTATTAAAGTTGATAAACAGTAACACTTTTAATTGATGAAAAATATCTTCCATTATTCTAACAAGCAAAAAGTATTTCTTCAGTACAGCATAATGACAAAATTTCAGAATCATTTCAGAAAGAAATGAGAAAGGTCTTAAAGTCATCCTTCAGAAAGAAAACAGAAAATGTATGGGTGACCTAGTGTGAGTGGAAGGGAGTCCTAGTGAGAGAATGGAATATAAACTTTTCTTTTAATCTGATGAAGATCCAGCACGTGCCACCAGGGGCATCTAACACTGGAAGCCTTTTGAAAGTGAATGTGGTTCAAATATTGAGTGAAGAACTGGAGCTTCATCCCCTAACCAAGGGCTTCAGGTAAATCAAATAGAACTAAACAAGAGAACCAAACAAAACACAGGAAAAGTATTTTCAGAGGTCACAGTCTTGGTTAGTTGGAGAGATATGTCATTCTTGAGTTTCATATTTCACTTGCAAGACAACCTGGAGACCAGAGGAGACATCTTCATCGGCCAAATTGTTTTCTGCCTTTCCCCTAAAATAGTAAAAATGCAATTTATTTTACAGAGAGCATGACGAGGAGAAGTGGACAATTCCAGCTTCAGAGACAAAGGAAAGGAACAGGACAAGGTTATCAGTGTGCCTAGGAAGAGAGGAAAATAGACCAAGACCTCAAGGAACTAAAGGGGGCACAGGTGGAAATTCAGGATGAAGAAGGGAGCTCTATGGTTTCAAAGGGCAAGGACTCAGTGAACCCTGAACTCTGAGCTGAGCTAGAATTCTCAGACAAGTTTACTCAGGTGAGAACCAACCCCACTGGCTGAATTTATAGGAAAAGAAGTCAGAGTAGTTTTCAAATACACCAGGAAAATTTTTCTCATCTTAATTCATTAACTACCTATTATTCCAGACTGTCAAATTCCACCCCTGAACAGAGGATTTATCGGGCAACATGTGTACATTTGTAACGATAAAAAATCCAGTCACTGCTCAAAATATAAATATTCAAAGTGAAAGAATAATAAGAACTCACATGTGTGGGGACCCAAGGAAAAAACAAACTAGGAAATGTTTCTTGCCAAAACCTTTAAAGCTTTTCCAAGATGTACTAAATTTACTATGTTCTATTATTTGTTTTGTTAAAGTACTTCACATACACATGTATATCATCATTACATCATCACCATCCCTTCAGGAAGTTGTATAACTCCAGAACTGCTTTAAAAAACAGAATGATTAATAAGTTAATATCCTCTGATAATCACATAAAACAATGGGAAGTAAAGCTGAATTTTTTAATGTTGTGTTTCATACCTTCTAAGTGTAATATTTCTAAGGTTACAGTGTGTTGTAATCTAGCAAATTGTTATAATTCACCATCAGACATTATTTAAACCTCCTACAAATGTTATTGGGAGCTTCCACTTTGGGCAACCTGTTCATCCTTGTATAGCTTAATCACTGGCCAAGTTTCTCCATGTTCTCTGGGACAGGTAAGTTCAGGAACACCAGGTACTTGAATAAAAGCACCCCCAATGAACTCATAGCACGCTACATGGTTTGGCATTTGGGTTTCCTCGTAGCTTCACATTCTCTTACAAAGTTCCACTCATCCTCCTTCCCAAATTTAAGGAATTTAGGACATTTACTCCCCAAACGAGTTTTTTCTGAGGCAAAAGAACTTCAATGACTTCATCTCTGTTTAATCATCCATGAGAGTATCTTGTAGCACCAGGGCAATCTTGCTCAAAGCTAAGATATTTGAGGCCCTTAGTGGGGGTGGAATTAGAATAAATGGTTGGCAATTTCTGACATTTGCAGGGTTCCTCCAGGAACCAGCTGAAGAAGCAAGAAAAGAGTTTGATTATGAAAATAACAGCTATGTGCCTGTAATCCCAACTACTAGGATGGTGGTCAGAGGATTGCAGTCTTAAGCTAACCTGAGCAAAAGTAAGAGCCCTATGTAACAAAACAAACTAAAAGCAAAAGGAAAGTGTTATAGCTTCGGTGGGAAAGTACTCATCTGGCAAGTTCAAGTCCCTGAGTTTAAATTCTACTACCACAGCAAAAGGAAAAAGAAGAGTGTAGTGAATGACCAAGTACAAGTTTCTTGAGACTCTAACACTATACTTTTTGCCCCATGATCTTTACCCTTCAAATTACCTCTGAGCATCTGCAATGGGCCACTCAGACCCCTGTCTAGATGGCAATCATGAACGTCTATGTTATCATCTCTGCACTACTCAGATGCAAGAAGGAAAATGACAGAGAGATGGTAACCAGAGGCCCAAAATTCAAGAAAGGATGTGAGTTCAGTAGGAATGATTTCCACTGTCAAACACAGGGAACTTAAATACATCCAGGCTAAGAAAGCTCCTACTAGGTGGGTAAATATACCTGTGATGAATTCAAAAATGGATAGAATGTCCGTGCCCAAAATGCAATTCAAAAATGGATAGAATATCCCCAGGAGAAAGAGAACAGGTACACAAAGGCCATCTTCAAATAGTACTCTTGAAAATGGCTGAGACTGAAACAGAAAGAGAGAGTTGGCCCATGGCAGTGGAAAAGAGATTGGAACACCAAGACCAGCTATAGGGCCACTCCCACTCCCGTGTCAGGATCATTGCCACTAAAGATGACAACTCTGTCCTGCTCTCTTCTTGCAGTGTCCTAGAATGTTGAACATAACTATTCCCATTTACCCTCACAAAGGAACAAGCCTTCAGGGCAGACACAAAGATAAGAGAGACATCAGACAGGCCTGGCTGGAGCTCTGGTTCACCACCCACCAGTAAATTCACCTCTCCACATCTTGGTGTCCTCCTATACAAAACAGGACCATCATACCTACCCAGGATGGAGGCTGTGAAAATGAGGGATAATGAACTTAAGTGCCTACTAGCGGCTGTAATTAGTGTAATTAATCTGATTAAAATAATCAGGAGTGAAGAACACAAGAAAGAGTAGGAATAGAAAGAGCAACAGAGATACAATAATAGAAAGTGGGTACCAGAACAACCCTGGAGTGACAGACAGAAAGTATGACAGGAGACAGAATAATTCATTTAGCTCCCAATCTTTTGTTAACTCTCACATTTCAATTACTACCTCTCTCAGATGAAAATATGAAGGTCTATACTCCCTACACACCAGGGATGCTGTGGTTGAGACCACATGAAGACACCACATCCAGGTTTATTGTTGGAGGCCACAGCTTTATGCATCTGCTTGATAGATGGGGAAATCCATCTATCACTGCTCAGGGGGCAATTAAAACACTCAACTGACAGCACCATGCCAAAGCCAGACAATTACAGACTTTGAAGTCATTAAACAGCATGGTGCTCCTTTGTTCTCCAATATGATCTAATTAATTTAATCAGGCAGGGACGTGTGACTTATGCTTACCTCCCCCAACATCCACCTTCTTAAAAATAACCATTTTCACCTGTTTTGTAAACCCCTCCCCCTGTAATTCAAGTCTTTGTTCATTCCTCTCTGAAACATTGTCCCCTGTCATCTCCAACTGTCCAGATCTTGGTCATCCTTGAAAAGCTAGCTTACATACTTCCTCTCTTCAAGAGGAGATCCCTGCCTTCCTTAGGACACCCCATCATGTTTTCTGAACTTCAAGGCCCACTTGGTTCTTTCCTGTGAGCTTATCACAGATGCCCCTCCCACTTATCAATACATCCCTCTAGAATGACAGGCAACGTGTCTTTTCCTCCTTTACAGAAAACTGCCTCACTTCGCAAGGTGAATGTCTGCAACATACATTCTTCTGAGCTTAACTGTAACTTTTTTTTGAACACCACATAGTAGTTAACACATTAAAAAAAATTAAACTTACTATTGTAAACTAAAAGTAAAATAAAGCTCCATGATCATCACATATAAGATCAGGGAGGAGAAAAGCAATGTAGAAAATACCACCCAAGTTTTCTGCTTTCTAAATAAGAGTTGAAGATGTCCTGCTGGGGAACAGTGGATCCTGATCAATGAGAAAGGGAAGGGAAAAAAGGAAAGCATGCTCTGGGGTAAATATGATAAACTTCTCTCATATGTATTACATGTATGAAAACAGCATCATGAAATTCACTTTTAAAAGAGCAAGGGAAAGAGGGGAGACAGGGAAGAGTAATTGGGGAGTGAATTTATTTGCAATCCATTATATACTTATATAGAAACATCACCATAAAACTGTCCAATTATATATGCTAATTTTGAAAAAGAAAAAAAAACAGCACAGACCTTTTTTTTAATGCTAGTGTTGGAAGTGGGTTTATTACTTTTAAACTTGTATATCTTCCTCACTTGCCTGAGTCACCTCTAGAGCAAATGCTTCCTGGAGAGTGACAACCCAAGAGACAGGGGAGACTGGGTACTCCTGTTGCAATGCTAGCACTGGGATGTCCTTGGTCCTCTACCATGCACTGGCTTAATCAGGGGCAAGCCATGGTCCCTGTCACACCCCCAGGAACTTTTCCCTGCAGCACAAGGGGTTTTGGATTTCAGCTTCCCTGCTGGCTTGTCCCTGAGAGGTACTCCTCAGCCTCCAGACTTTCTCCCTCTGCAAATGTATTTTTTCTGAACTTGGGCAGAGAGCTGTCAATCTTGGCGTTCAATGCAAAAGTCAGTAGTAAATGCTAAGCTTCTATTGTCTCATCCTTTGGGGAGCATTTCAAGGCCATGCCCCACTTACAAGTCAAAGGATGAAATAATGTCTTCTCAAGAATCTTAGTAACTGGCAGAAGCTGTCGGGTAGCAGCCCCGTCTTGCTCCGGAATGAAGTGGGTACGATCGGTAGGGAGATCAACTCACCAGACGTCCCCAACCCCAACCCGTGGGGTCCAAGCTCGCTTACCAATCTTGGCCAGAGAAGCCAGGAGGATCCACAGCGTGATCTCAAAGGGGATTTGCACGTGAGGGTAGTCCAGGGTGAATACAGGCAGCCGACTTTCCTCGAACGGCGTAGTTCCCGGGGCCACCACGCTTGCGGGGCTGGGTGGGTTGGAGCTGGTGCCCCCGGCCCTTGGCGCGTCCAGCAGAGTCTCCGCCAGGGTGCCTGCCGGCCCCGCCACCTGCAGGAGCAGCAGCAGCAGCAGCAGCGACATCAGCCGAGGAAGCGACGCCCGTAGGCTCCTCCCGGTACCCACGGGTTCCATGGGGTCTGCTCTGGGCGCCGACAAGGAGCCGGCAGCCTGGCCCTGTGCGTCCTCAGCGCATCGCGCTGGGACAGCGCCACCAGCTTGGCCCCTGCGACGAGCCAGACAGCACAAGTCACCGGGGCGGGATCTCCGCAGGCAGCGGGGCTGGGTCTCCGCAGCGCAGGGCTGGCGGTGGGGAAAGGCACGCGCAGCCACGGGAGGCCACTGCGCGGACCCTGGGCTGCTCTTAGCCGCCCTCAGCGGCCCGCCGCCCGCCCATGCCGGGTCCAAGCGGCTCGCGGGCCGCAGCTGCAGGCCCTGCCCGGGGCGGCCCGCGGGCGGGCGGGGAACGGGGGCGGGGGCGGGGCGGGCGCGGCGCCCGGGCTGCGGACGGGCGGGCAGGCGGGCGGGGACCGGGAAACGACCTGGGCACCGCGCACCTGCCGGAGCCCGCGGGCCACCCCGGGCCTAAGAGGCCGCGGGGGCGACGGCTGTGTTCCCTTCTCGCCCACACCGTGTGCCCAGATCTGCCACCCTCTCCCCCGCTCCCGGAGCCGACCAGCTGTGGGTGGACTCGCGGCGCGGCGCGCACGGTGACCGGAGCTGTCCCCGCCCCGGAGGCCGAGTCGGGCGTCTGTCCAAAGAAGGGACCGGCGCGACCCACGCGTCGCGCCCTTCCCCCCCCACCCCCCCCAGCCACCCTGCAGCTTTCTGCAAGGAGACTCCCTGGTGCACTGGGCACGCCAGGAGGCGCCGCGCGGCTCCAATCCACGAGACCTCAAGGCATGCTGGAATAGGGGTGCCATCACCCCCAATTCGGGGCACTGCTGAGGTGGGACTGTGTGGCTACGGAGCTGGCTGGGGGTTCAGAAAGTTTGGGAGAGCCATGTGGTGCACCCCCTTGGCACACACTGCAAATGCAATGCGAGTTGTCTTGGGCGCGCCAAAGAAGCGCCCCCCCTTCGTTCCCCCCCACACACCCCCCTCCGTCAGAACGCAGCGTTCCCAGGCTCCCAAGGAGTCCTGATCTGGCTCATTGTAACACTGTCCACCCCACTTCAACTCTCCATGCTCCAGCTCACGGAAAAAGAAAAACATCTCTCTTTTTAAGCTTAGAGGTGAACATGTCCGAGGGCATCAGAAATATAATTATTTCATGGAAAACCAGTGATTTGCTGAGCTCAGATCCACTTGCTCTGCTCTGCTAATTACAGGACAGGCTGTGGTTTGGAAACGAGAACGAAGGGAACGCGATTCACCCGGATCTAAAAGAGCTTTATCTCCCCAGTGCCAACCGTCTTCTCCTCCTGCGCACCAAAACCTTCTCCAAGGATGTTGCATACTTCACTGGTTGTAATCTTACTGGCCTGGCATCCTTACCACCAGAAACGGAAAGAAATACAAAAGACCTGACCAGTTGCCACTCAATTAAGTAGAACTGTTTTTCCCTCTGATATCTCTGAAATAAAATAACTTGCTTCTCTGTTTTCTGTGTGGCTTCCCTATTGTAACACACACACACACACACACACACACACACACACACACACACACACACACACACACACACACACACACACACAGAGTTCAACGTTTGGGACAAACTTTTTCAACGTTCCAACAGAAAACCTGTAAGACATGAGCAAATATTATTTTTTTTTAAGTAAAATCTTCCTGAGTAAAATCTTTAAATAATTTCGTCACCTTTCAGCCCTAAAAGTCAAGCAGGAAATTAGAATGACACTCAAAGAAGGCACAGAATGTTAGTTAATATTGTTTAAAATGTCAGCTTTTCAAATGTGGGATAGAATTGAATTCTATTTGACTTAAAAAGAATCGCTATCCTGGTACCAGTGACTCACACCTGAAATCCTAGCTACACAAGAAGCTGAGATCTGAGGATTTTGGTTCAAAGCCAACTGAGGGGAAAAAAATGTCCATGACATTCTTATCTCTGACTAATTGCCAAAAAAACCTGAGATAGAGCTGTGGCTCAAATGGTAGCTTCTTGAGCAAAAAATATAAGGGACAGCACCTAGGTCCTAAGTTAAAGCCCCGCTACCATTACCCCCTCCCCCACATAAAAAGAATCAGTGGGCTGTCTAAACTTCAGAGCCCACCTCCCAATTTCACTGGGGATTTTTTTTTTGGGGGGGGGGGGCTGGGCGCTGTCCCTCAGCTCTTCAGCTCAAGGCTAGCACTCTACCACTTGAGCCACAGCGCCGCTTCTAGCTTTTTCTGCTTATGTGGTGCTGAGGAATCGAACCCAGGGCTTCATGCATGCAAGGCAAGCGCTCTACCACTGAGCCACCTTCCCAGCCCCTCACTGGGGATTTTTATTTAAATTATATTCTTAAGGTTCTCTTGTGAGAAAAGAACTATAAGTAAGGATTTATTTTCCTTTCTTATTGGTATATCTCTGCATGGAGAAGTAGGTCATGGTTAGTTGTATTATTTTAATTTTTTTAAAAATTATCACTCAATGATTTTTATCAAACAAAAGAGATAGACATTTTTATATCCATTTTATAAGTGAAGAAATACAAATGCATGAATACTTTAAACAGACTTCCCAAGGTAACAAATCAACTAAGGCTCTGAAAGGAATACCACACCCAGGCCTGCTCTTGCTAATGCAGGTCTCATTCCACCCTCTAACCCAGGACCAGGTGCCCTTAAATGGCAGATTATTTTTGAAGTAGAACAGTGGAGAATATTTTAGGGACTGTTCAAAAGGTTATAGCAGCGTAAAATTTTACTGACAGAAAATCAGGACAGTTGTATAAGTTGAGTGAGGAAAAAAAATAACAGGACACATACATCTAGAAAGTTGCTGGTTGGAGTTTGAGTCAGAAGAAACTCTTAAGAAAGATTATGCATCATAAACAAGATGACCAATAAATCTACATTTCTGGGATTCTAACATCTATAGTAACTAGAGATTGCAGGTTCTGCAATTGCTGTAACTTTGTAACTCCATGTTTATTATAGTTAAAGGTTATCCACCTTTTCTTACATTTGGAAACATGCCCTTTGGTTTAGGCTTGTAAATGGAAGGTGAAAAGTTTAGTTTAAAACAATTCTCTCTTCTAAAGTAAATAGAGTTGAATTATGCCCCCCTTACAATCTTAAAAACTCTCCCAAGATTCATGTGCTAAGGACATGTCACAGGTCTGAGGCCCTGTTGGGAGGTGGTGTAACCTTTATGAAGAGGGTGCCTAGTGGGAGAACAGGGGTATGCCCTTGAAGCGGATTTGGGGATCTTGGTACTTCTGTCTGCCTTTTGCTTCCCGGCCACCATGGAGTGGGCAGTTCTCTCTGAATAAGAAACTCTCTCCCATAATATTCTGCCTCCTCACCTCAGGTACAAAAGCAATGGGGCCAAGCAACCCCTCTGAACTGCAAATGAGACCCCAAACAATCCTTTCTTTCTTCTGAGTTGGTTAGTTTAGGTCTATCATCACAGTGATGGAAGGCTAACTAACACAGCCTCTTTGCTGACATAGTCTTGGCTGAACTACTTCTTCAGAGTAGAAGGTCAGTCGCAGAACGTAATAATTCCAGAAGTCAAGAATTGAATATTGAAGCTGATGCTTGTAATCCTAGCTATTAAGGAGGCAGAGGTAGAGGATTATTTTGCAAGGCTAGTCCATGCAAATGTGTAAGACTCGATCTGAAAACAAACTAAAATAAAGGACTGTGATGTGTACCGACTAGTAGACTGTTTTCTAGCAATTATGAGGCCCTGTGTTCAACTCTCAATAACACACACACACACACACACACACACACACACACACACACACACGGTGGGATGGTGTTCCTCTTGCCTTAGGGTCTTTTCTCCTCCTGTCCCCTGTGCAGGATTCCTTCACTTTGCTCTCTCTTCCCCTCTCCCTTTCTCTCCACTCCCCGCCCCCCAATACCAGGACTGGCATTTGAACTCAGAGCCTGAATGCTGCCCTTTAGTTTCTTTTTACTCAAGGTTAATACTCTATCAGTTAAGCCACAGCTTCACTTCTGGCTTTTTATTGTTTAATTGGAGATGAGAGTTTCACACTCTTTCCTGCCCAGGCTGGCTTTGAAACATTACCCTCAGATCTCAGCCTCCTGCGTAGCTAGGATTATAGGTGTGAGCCATTGACACCTGGCTAGAATCTCTTTTGATGCCATTCACTATCTCTTATGTAATTTTTCTTCTCTACACTCAGTGATTATACCTTTCTCTTACTTAAGAGCTCTAGGAAATGACAACAAACTGCTAGTCTACTCAAGACACTTTTTTATCCTTCAGACCTAGTACATGATGAGTGCACACTAAATGTGAGCCAGGTGAATAGACATATCACTTGATGAGAAATCCCCAGCTCTTTCTAAAATTAGAAATCTGGGTTGCATTCCTACCTCTTACACTGGCCAGATGCAGGATAAACAACCTTCCCTGGTTTCCATGTTCCTGTCCTGAGCAGTCTTCAGTTTAGACTTGGGGATCTCACATCTCTGTCAGCCTCTCCTCTTCTACCTAAAAATGGGTGATATAAATTTATTATCTAATGTCTAAATAGTTTCAGAAATAGTAATTAGCTGTTATGTAATTGACCCTCAGGTAGTCAGAAATATGCACTAGGGACTTAGGAATTCTCTCAGAAAAATGTGTAACTTCTGGTTGCTTTTCGATCTGTGTGGTTGGTTGGAGTCTTAATGTACTCTAGCAGAAACAATTGCTGAATCCTAGGACAGCATCTTTGACACCTTTCAGCAATCAAAGGATTTTGGAATTAGTTTGGGGTACCAAGGAAAGAAGCTGTGGAAATAAAGCTGAGTTTCAATAGCAGGACATATATGTTCACAATAAATATGTTTAACTGTGCAGAAATTAGAGCCAATATGTTCCTAACAAGACTTGATTTTGTTCTTGTTTTTGTTTTCCTTCCTTCCTTCCCTCCCTCCCTTCCACCGTCCCTCCCTCCCTTCTTTCCTTCCTTCCCTCCCTCTCTTCTTTCCCTCTTTCCTTCCTTCCCTCCTTCCTTCCCTCTCTCCCCCCTCCTCCTCTCCCTTTCTCTTCCCGGTGATGGTACTGGAGCTTGAACTAGAAGTCTGGGAACTCTCCCTTAGCTTTTATCACTCATGTTCTACCAGTTGAGTCCACCTTCATTTGCAGTCTTTTGTTGGATAATTAGAGATGACAGTCTCACAGACTTTGCTGCTTGAGCTGTCTTTGAACTGATAGCCT